GCTGTCCCTCAGCTCTTCAGCTCAAGGCTAGCACTCTACCACTTGAGCCACAGTGCCACTTCCGGCTTTTTTTCTTTTTGCTTATGTGGCGCTGGGGAATCGAACCCAGGGCCTCATGCATGCAAGGCAAGCACTCTACCACAGAGCCACCTACCCAGCCATCAATTAATTTCTTTTATGACAAAACCTGTAGTAAAACTGCCCAACAGTGACACTGAAACAAAACCTGTAAGTTGACTTTCTTAAGAAAACACAAATGCTAAGAAAATGATTTACCTTCTGTGGGGTTAGCTGGCTGGTCCTTGTTAATTGCTGATTGAATGTTATTAAATGAAGTAGGTGGACCACACTGTTGCAACACTCCAATGGCATTACAAAACTGATCTGCAAGCTTGGGCCAAATAAAACAGGTCAAGGTTAGAAAAGATGTATCAATTTTAAGGGTTTGTTCCATTATGGCAATAATTTTTCTAAATAGTGATTTGAAAGCCTCTCACAGAAAGGAGTAATTCTGTGTAAAAGAAGCCATTACTACTCGAAATGATTGATTTTGGATCAGTGCTAATGAATGAACCCAGAAACATAGTAATCACTGATTACTCAGCCTGGGTTAAATGTTTTAATCAAGTCATGAAAGAAAAAGTCATAAAGTACAAAGACAAAGGTGCACAGGTTGCTGGTGGCTCACACCTGTAAACCTAGCTCCTCAGAAGCCTGAGATCTAAGGATTGAAGTTCAAAGCCAGCCTAGGCAGAAAAGTCCCCATGAGACTATTAATCTCCACCTAACCACTCAGAAACCAGAAGTAGTGTTGTGTCTCAAGTGGTAGAGTGCTATCCTTAAGCACAAAGAGGCTCAGGGACAGTACCCAGGCCCTTAGTTAGTTCAAGCCCTATAACCCACACAAAAGAAAGAAAGAAAAAGAAGCCAATATTTATTTTAAGCAACAAGCAGATAATTTGCTTGTAATGGTGAATATTGGTGCAAAATATATGTAACAAAATGACTGCTTAAGAAGCCAGGTGCTGGTGACTCACGGCTGTAACCGTAGGTACTCAGGAGGCTGAGATTGGAGGATCACAGTTCAAAGACAGCCCAGGCAGGAAAGTCTATGAGACTCTTATCTCCAATAAATCACTCAGAAAACTGGAAGTGGCCCAGGGATAAAGCGCTAGCCTTGAGCTGAAGAGCTGAGGGACAGCACCCAAGCCCAGAGTTCAAGCACGATGACTGACAGAAACAAACAAACAAAAAAAACTGCTTAAAATGGTACCTTAAGAAATCAGATATGGTCTTCTCCAAGCTCAAATTATCATCTATTGCTCAAAACATATTTTCCTTTAAAATAATTTTAAAAATTATTATTAAAAAAGTGATGTGCAGCAAGGCTCATGTCTGTAATCCTAGCTCAGGAGGCTGAGATCTGATGATAATGGTTCAAGGCCAGCCCTGGCAGGAAAGTCTGTGAGACTCTTATTTCCAATAAACCACTAGAAAACTGGAACTGTGTTCTTTATGGAGATCTGAACACTTACTGCATCTTAAGTAGCAAAACATTAGTAAGGACATTTAGACATGAGTAAGTTAATAATTTCATAAGTATGAGGGAGTAGTAGGAAATGAAACCTATTTGGCTTAGTTTATTGAAAATAAAAGCTTTCACACAGCCTAGCAGTTGTGAGATTTGCCTTGAAAGCCATGAAATTTGATGCCCAATGTAAGGTACCTATAGAGAAATTTGGGTTCAATTCCTCAGCACCCTCAGATTTGAGCAGGGTAAAACATTGTAAACTAGAAAATGAAACAGGCTATTTAATATTACTGGTGTGTAATAATTGGACTAAGACAGGAACAGTAACAATAAAAGGTAAAGAGGAAACATTTGTATTATTATCAAGATTTGAAATGAGTAGAGCATAAAACACTGGTTAGCCAGGCACTAGAGGCTTGGGCCTCTAATCCCAATTATGAGAGGCTAAGATCTGAGGACTGTGGTTCAAAGCCAGTTTGGACACAAAAGTCCATGAGTCTCCTATTTCCAATTAACAGCAAAAATCTGGAATGGGAGCATTGGCTCAAGTGGTAGAGTACTAGCCTTGAGAAAGACGCTCATGGACATGGTCCAAGCCCTGAGTTCAAGCCCTAGGACCAGCACCAAACAAGAAAAGATTGAAGGGAGAGGGGAAGGAGGGAGAAGGGGGAGGGAGGACAAGGAGAAGAGGGAGAGGGAGAAGGAGAAGGGGAGAACCAAAATGTGAGAGCTTGAAGCTCCTAAATGTTGATGAATAATTCACCAAGGTCAAGTCTCCCTTGGATTAACTGCCTGAGTTGCCAGGCAACACCTCTCAGGGAGATACTCCTTTGAGGTTTACAAATCAAACTGTAAGGATAGTGGGTGGAAAAATGTTATTTTAGGAAAATTTTCCCTGTAGTCATACATGTCTTTTAACTTTGAGGACAGTAAGACTGCACTGAAGGATGATTAGCTAGCTGGATTTGGTAAACTCATATGAGCACACTGTGTGTGTGAACCCTGTGAGTTCACAGATCCTCCCTAATGTGGAGCAAACCAGATGTAATGAGGAACATAGAATAAACCAGTGGTTTTGTCTGTCAAGTGATAAAGCAGACTGGAACAATTAATTCATAGCAAAAAGAACCTAAAATGAGATGATTTTAGCACTTACACAAATCACAGTATTTGTACAACTATTACCAGTTGTTCTCTCTGAACTCCTTATGATGGAAAAGCTATGTCACATTCAGTGTATCTCTATCATGTTTACACACAATACTTGTCATGGAACTGACTTTTCAACAAACTTTAAAAAATACTTATTTTAAGTTGGGTGCTGGTGGCTTACACTTGTAATCCTAGCTACTTAGGAAGCTGAGATCTGAGGATTGAGGTTCAAAGCCAGCCTGGGCAGGAAAGTCTATAAGACTCTTATCTCCAATAATCCACTCAGAAAACTGGAAGTGGCACTGTGGCTCAAGTGGTAGAGCACTGGTCTTGAACTGAAGAGCTGAGGGACCCTGCCCTGTCCCAGAGTTCAAAACCCACAACCGACAAAAAAAAAAAAAAAGAAAAATACTTACTTTGGCAGTGGATTTTTTATTCTTCTTTTGCTTTTGTTTTGTGATGGTATTGGGACTTGAACTCAGACCTTGCAGCTCTCATTGGCTCAAGAGTGATCAAGTTTAGCATTCTACCACTTCAGCCACACCTCCACTTCCGACTTTTTGGTGGTTAACAGGAGATAGGAGTCTCAAGGGCTTTTCTGCCTGTGCTGGCTTAGCATTATGATACCAGATCTCAGTGCTGGGCTCTATTATTATCACTTTACTATTTACATAGAGAAAAATCAGTTTTTCAAAAGTGGGGCTGGGAAGGTGGCTCAGTGGTAAAGCGCTTGCCTTGCATGCTTGAGGCCCTGGGTTCGATTCCTCAGCACCCATAAGCAAAAAAAAAAAAAGCCGGAAGTGGTGCGGTGGCAGCTAGCCTTGAGCTGAAGAGCTGAGGGGCAGAGCCCAGGCTCAGAGTTCAAGCCCATGACCGGACCCAAAATAAAAAACAAAACAAAAACAAAATCAAAAGTGCAACTCCAAAATATGCCAAGTAAGATCAGAACTAGTGAGGGGCCCAGGCATTCGGGTTTTTCACTCAGGGTAATTTTCTATAGGCACCTTCTTCGGACATTACACTGCAATCAAAATGACACTAAGAAATAAATGTTTCTAACAACAGAAATCTGCTTAATTCTTTTTTGTTTAACCAATTTTTTTTTTTTGTCGGCCTGGACGCTATCCCTGAGCTCTTCAGCAAAAGGCGATTGCTCTACTACTTGAACCACAGCGCCAATTCCGGGTTTCTGGTGGCTCACTGGAGGTAAGAGTCTCACGGACTTCCCTGCCCTGGTTGGCTTTGAACCGTGATCCTCAGATCTCAGCCTCCTGAGTAGCTCGGATTACAGGAGCGAGCCACGGTCCTCGGCTTCAGGATCACAATTCTAAGCCAGCACAAGCAGAAAAGTACGCGAGACTCTTAGCTGAAGTTAACCAGCAAAAAGCTGGAAGTGGAAGTGTGGTCCATGAGGTAGAGCGCTAGCCGTGAGCAAAAGCCACTCGGAGGCTGAGGCCCTGGACCTCAAGTCTCCCCGCACCAACCAACCAGCCAAAGACAAAACGAAACAAAATCCCCAAAGCCCACGCAGACAAAAGAAATAGAAATACTCGGGTCAGAATACTCACCATCATAAAGCTAGACAACGGACCAAACGCTTGGCCTGGCCGAGACCTCAAACCCCGCGGCCACGCCCACCCCAGGACACAGTGACTAAGACCATCCAATCATAAACATCACAGCCAAGGACACCAGAACCGGTCAGGAAAAGCCAACTGGACGAACAGCCCGAACTACAAGCAGCCGCGACCAGCCGGTCCAGACGGCGGCTCGCACGGAGGCGTGGGCTGAGGCCTCCCTCCGCTCGCCCCTCAAGCCGCCCTGGCAGCCCCCGGGGATTTCCGGGAACTTGTCTCTCCGGCTCAAGTGAGGCCAGAGTAGAGAAAGGCCGAGACACGCCGGGGGAAAGTCCTCACCGAGTTCACTGCGTCTTGGAGCTGCGTGAGGCGGTCCGCCATGTTGCTCCCGCACGCAACCGGAGCTAGAGCCGCCGCTCAAGAGAGATTGGGTGGTTATAGTACCTGTCTCAGCCAATCACCGAGCGGCGTTCTTGGATAGGGCGGGGTCAAGGTGGAGACTCCCCCTCCTCCCGGCGGGCGGGGCCCCTCCCTCTCTATGCGCACCGGAATTAGAAAGGGGCGGGGCGAGGCGGCCGGGTGCTGGAGTTCAGAGCTGTGGTCGCCTTGTGGCGTTGGCGGGGTCCAGCGGGAAAGCGGGCGCCTCGCCTACACGGCTGGACTGTGGCCACCTCACGAGGTTGAGGACCGCGGTTCGAACCCAGCCCGGGCAGAAAATTCCTCCAAAGACGCTTACCTCCAAATAGCCACCTAAAAGTCGGAAGTGACACTGAGGCTCAAGTGGTAGAGCGCCAGCCTCGAGGACAGCTTCGGGCATGGAGTTCGAGCCCCGCGCTGCCCCCACCCCTCAAGAAACGAACACGTGGAGCTCCCCGGCCGCGCACGAGCTCGCAGGGACGCGCTGCGCTGTCCGGACGCCGCACGGTCGCGGGGAGGCGGGGAGCGCCGCCCTCTGTGGGCCGTGAGGGGCGGGTGCGGGCCGGAGGGCGTGGGGCGGCGCCGCGGCCTCGTGTCCCCCGCGGGCTCGGCGCGGGCACAGGTGGCCATGCAGGCCCCGTGGCTGCTGATGCTCGCCGTGCTGGTAGCGGCCAGCGGGGTGCCCGCCGGAGCCGCGGTCGTCGGGAGCGCCAGCACCCGTAAGTCCTCCCCGTCCCCGGGTGGGTGCTGCATGTCGGGCAGGTCGGAGCAGTTCGGTGGCACAGGAAGCGGCGTCAGGGACGCCGGTGCACCGGTGCCGAGCTCCGAGTTGGCGAGCGGAATGGACGTGGGGTCTTTCCAGCGCAGAACCCCCCGACGACCTCTTGGGGAAAAGAGGATAAGTAACTCTTGGATTTAAATTTTCAGCTCCCAGAGGCAGCCATGTTTGTGATGCTCCTCTCCATCTCCCTCTTCCTCTCCCTGTCCTTTTCCTTCTCTCCCTCCTCCTCTCTCTCGTTGCCAGTACTGGGGCTTGAACTCAGGGCCTAGTCGGTCTCCCTGAGATGTTTGTGCTCGAGGATGGCACTGTAGCACTTAAGCCACAGTTCCACTTCTGTTTTGAGGGCGTTAGTGGATTTTCCTGCCCAGACTGGTTTTGAACCTCGATCCTCAGCGCTCAACCTCACGAAGGGGCCAGGGTTACAGGCGTGAGGCAGCTGTGCACAGCTTGTTCGTGGCTTTCATTGAACACATTGAAATGGAACCCCTTTCCCTCTGCTTGGGGAAAAATGAAGACTTTATGGCCAGGGGCCCTGAAAACTTACCAAACCTAGATGCTCTTACAAGTTGGAACGTGACTCCACATCTCACTCGGGTCATGTGTTTGGTGAAAGAGTTTTAGCAAGAGCTGGTGGTTTGTTAGTAGGAGTTTGTTTTTTTTTCTAAACACACAGTAATTGTGCTTGTCTGGCAGTCATATGATTTTCACTGAAATTAAGTGCATGCTTCAGTTTTATGTTCACAGCCAAGTCGCAGGTCTGAAACCGTATGTGATGTGCTTGAACCCCCTGGGCTAAGTCAGGCACAGAGAAGGAAAATGGAATTATGAAGACCAAATTTCTCTTTTAGAACTTGGTGGTTGTGGTGAAACATGAAATCTGAGGTAGATTTTAGTAACATAATAAAGAGGAAAATTTAGAAGGGGTGTGTGTGTGTGTGTGTGTGCGTGTGTGTGCGTGTGCGTGCGCGCGCGTGCGCACACACGCGCGGCATGCACACCCCTGCACCTGCGTGTGGGAAATAGAATTTGAACTCAAGAGCCTTGAGCCCTTCCTTGCTTGTCTGTTTTGCTTAAGGCTGGTGATATACCACTAGGGCCATGCCTCTAGTTGCAAGTCACTTGCTTCTTGAGAATTACACTGTGAGTGTAACTTTTTGATGCTGGTAGTTTGCTCTGGAATATCATTTGATGAACTTTTTTCCTTCCACTTGCTACATCATAAGATCTAATTACACCTCATAAAATGAATCCTCTTCCAGAGGACTAAGGAGTGAAGCTAGATTCCTGACAACTGCTGAGAAATACATTTTGGGTTCATATACAGGACTTGAACTCTGGTCCTCAGTCCTTTTGCTTACCTTGTTTGATCAAGGCTGGCACTCTACCACTTGAGCCACAGCTCCATTTCTAGCTTTTGCTAACTGGAGATAAAACGCTCACAGACTTTTCTCTCCTGGCTGTCTCAGAACCAATATTCTCAGTTTTCAGCCTCCTTAGTAGCTAGGATTACAGGTATAAACTCCCAGCACCTGCCCTCCGCAAATGTTTGTAAAGTCTGGGCTTTAACTCATGTCATGTCCCTGAGCTTTTTTTGCTCAAGGCTAGTGTTCTACCACTTGAGCCACAGCTACATTTCTGGCCTTTTGGTGGTTAATTGGAGATGAGTCTTATTTTTTTTTGCCAGTCATGGGACCTGAACTCTGGGCCAGGGCCCTGTCCCTCAGCTCTTCAGCTCAAGGCTAGCACTCTACCACTTGAGTGACAGTGCCACTTTCAGCTTTTTCTGCTTATATAGTACTGAGGAATAGAACTCAGGGCCTCAGGGGCTGAGAAGGTGGCTCAGTGGTAGAGCACTTGCCTTGCATGCCTGAGGCCCTGGGTTTGATTACTCAGCACCACATAAGCAAAAAAAGAAAAAAAGCCAGAGGTGGCGCTATGGCTCAAGTGGTAGAGCGCTAGCTTTGAGCTGAAGAGCTGAGGGACAACGCCCAGGCCCAGAGTTCAGGCCCCACGACTGGACCCCCACCCCCCCCAAAAACAAAAAGAACTCAGGGCCTCATGCATGCAAGGCAAGCACTCTACCACTGAGCCACCTTCCCAGCCTGTGATAAGAGTCTTACAGACTTTCTTGGCTTTGAACAGAGATCCTCAGATTTCTGCTTCCTAAGTAGTTAGGATTCCTGGCTGGCAGATTTCTTTGTTTTTTTAATTAAAAAAATTTAAGCTCTTCCTTCACTTTAATATCTTCCATTATTACTATGTGAAAGTCTCTTTCTCAATTTAATGCATATGATAAGCCTTTCTTTTTCTCATTAGTTTATTTACAGAGCCAATCTGAGACTGCCTGGTTTTTGTTTTAATTTTTTATTTTTTTGGCCAGTGTTGGAATTTGATCTGAAAACCTGTAGGCTTGCTAGATCAGCACTCTATCACTTGAGTCCCATTCATGACAGTTATGCTAGTACACACCTGTAGTCCCAGTTACTCAGAAGGTTGAGGCAGGAGAACTGCTATTTATTCCATCATTTAGGTTGTATCTATGCTTTTGTAATTTTTCACATAGGGCCTCCTTGTTGCCCAGGCCAGCTGGCATCCGGAACCACCCTCCTGTTTACACTTTTTATGTAGCTGGAATGGTATGTACATGCCACACACTCAGCTCTTGGTTGAAATGGGGATTTGTGGATGTTTCTACATGGACTGCCCCTGAATTTCTCTTTTTCCTATCTTAGCCTCTTGAGTAGCTAGGATTAAAGTTCTTGCTTGAGGTCACATAGTTCAACCACAATTCAAACACAGTTACTGTGTATTAACCAGGAAATGTTCTGAGCCAGGCCTCTGCACATCAAATGTGACAAAGGGAAACCTCAAGCCTAATGTTGAAGTGTAATCTTCTGGGAAAATTGTGAAATGGCTGTTGGACTGCTAACGTATTTTCCCACAGAAGATAAGTGAAGATAACTAAGGATAGAGAGAAGGCATTTATCTTTTGCCTACCAGACTTGTACCTGGACTTCTCAGACAGGGCTAAGCATTAGAATCACTTGAAGAGCTGTTTTAGAAGATGTCAGTAAAAAAGAAATTGGAAGTTAAACAAAAACCCTCTTGTTTCCATTTTTTGGCATTCATTTTGATAAACATCTTTTGTATAATCATATGCATTGATTGTGATCCCCTCCTTGGGTCTCACTGTGTGAATGTCTAGAATCCTATATAATTTATCATGTCCCAGTGTAGTTTTTTACTTGTAGGCACATTCTAATTACAACAAATGAAGGGAACTATGCAATCTATGTCTCTTTTGGTCTGCCTTCACTTAATAAAATTTTTCCAGTCTTTCCATTTCCTTAGCATTCTTTCTGATGTACCTTTTGTCTTTATGTAAGTTTATCTGTTTGGGGAATGATAAGGGGGAGCACAGAAATTATGGAACAAGGGTGAACTAATTCAGCATACTAATTCAGAAACTCACTAGACACTATGTTGAAAATGAACTATAGGGGATGGGAAGGTGATTCAGTGGTAGAGTGCTTGCCTTGCATGCATGAAGCCCTCCTAGATTCGATTCCTCAGCACCACATACACAGAAAAAGCTGGAAGTGGCGCTGTGGCTCAAGTGGTAGAGCTGAAGAGCTGAGGGACAGCCCAGGCCCAGAGTTCAAGCCACAGCCAAAAAAAAAAAAAGAACTACACGACTTGGGGGCGGGGAGGTGGGGGTCAAACCTGAGAGAGCAAGAGAAGGGGTGACATTTGTAAGGTCCACCCTGGGAAGGCAGAGCAGACTCCTCCCTCCTCTTGGTTAAGTGTCTGTCTAGTACCTGCCTCAGCTAGGTAAGTGGCACACTTAGAGGCAGTCACCTCCCCCCTCCCTGAGGTCACATCTGCATTGGGTGTGGGCTTCCCCCTCCCCATTAGTAGTGGCCTGGCTGTGGTTCAATCTTTTTTTTTTTTTTTAATCTCTGCTGCAGGGGCTTCAAACTTGACCTGAGGCAACCTGTAGCTCAAAAATAAACCTTTCCCTTGCCTGAATACCACATGCTGTTCTCTCTTTCCTGGGCTGCTGATTTAATTTACCTAACAGTGTCCAAAAAGAATTGTACTCATTACCTGACTTATGTAACTGTAACCCCTCTTACATCATCCTTACAATAACAATGAAAAAAAATGATGTTAGGAAAATGGAAGAGAACAGAAAAGGAATAGGCCGGACTCGATCATCAATAGGCGAGGACTGTTGATTGATGAACGGCGAGGAGCACAGACCTTCCCGAGGTTTGGAGATTATGCCCAAGAGTAGGGACAGGAGCTGGGTTTTTTTTAGAGGAGGTCTGAGCAAGGAGGCAGAAGTTAATGAAAAAGCCACTAGGTCAAGGAAGGTGGGGGCCTTTCAGGTGGGCCCACAATGGGATATTTACAGCTGGGTTTAGGTGAATTGCCTGTACTTCAAACAAGTTCACACATACCTGGGGTTTTGCCTGGTGTGTGTATGGGCCTGGGACAATAGGATGGGGGTCAATCCTTCAATTGGAACTTAAAAGGAAAACTAAAGCTGGGCACATAAAGGCTTACCCTTGTAATCTTAACTACTCTGGTGGTTGATATCTTTTTTTTTTTTTTCTCCCCGGTTGTAGGGCCTGAACTCTGGGCCTGGGCACTGTCCCTCAGCTCTTCAGTTCAAGGCTAGCACTCTACCACTTGAGCTACAGCGCCACTTCCAGCTTTTTCTGCGTATGTGGTGCTGAGGAATCAAATCCAGAGCCTCATGCATGCAAGGCAAGCACTCTACCATTGAGCCACCTTTAGCCCTTGGTGGTTGATATCTTGGAGGATCTCACTTCAAAACCGGCTAGGGCAGATAGAGTCTTGAGAGACTCCATCTTCAATTAACCAGAAAAATGCCAGACTGGACATGTGGCTCAAGTAGTGGAGTGCCAGCTGTGAATGCAAAAGCCACAGCTCTATTTCTGTTTTTTTGCTGGCTAATTGGAAGAATCTCACAACTTTTCCTGCCTGGCCTGGCATCACCAGGATGTTAGAATACAATATAGACAGGTGGTGGTTTTATGAGTATATAAACTTTGTGTACTTTTCTCTGTGTATAACATATGATACATAACATTTCATATTTCTATGATACACAGTGACATATACACATATATATTCATATGTTATATATTTATATATTCATTTTTGCTGCATGCTGGTGTCTCATGCCTGTAATCCTAGCTACTCAGGATACTGAGATCTGAGCAAGAAAGTCTATGAGACTCTTATCTCCAGTTAACCAGCAAAAAGGCAAAAATTGAGGTATAGGTTGTGATAGAGTCCTGCCTCAAGCAAAAAGATGAAGGGACTGTTAGGTTTTTAAAGAGGTTGCCGAATAAGAACAGTACCATGCACGTGGTATTCCGGTATGGGGTAGGTTTATTCATCATTCCAGCTGGCACCAGGACATGCTAGCACTCCTCGTGGCTGGGAAAGAGAGCATCTAGCCCTGGGCTAGGCCTTATCTAGGGTAGGGGCAGAGAAAGATGTGGCCACATGGAATCCAGATGTGACCTCAACAGATGCAGATATGACCTCTTCCAGGTGTGCCAGTTGTCTGTGCAATGTAGGTAATAGGGGGAGACTTGGCTGCAAGGAGGGTGGAGTCTGCTGGCTATCCAGGAGTGGACCTTATAGGGACAGCACCAGGCTGTGAGTTCAAGACTCAGTACTGGTGCAAAACAAAAAATTCTTGAATTCTTTTAAAAAACATTTTTATTAGTTGGGAGCTGGTGGCTCATACCTGTAATCCTAGCTACTCAGGAGGTTGAGATCTGAGGATCACTGTTCAAAGTCAGCCTGGGCAGGAACATCCTTGAGACTCTTATCTCCAATTAATCACCAGATAATCAGAAGTAGCACTGTGGCTCAAATGGTAGAGCGCTAGCCTTGAGCTGAAGAGCTCAAGGGACAGTGCCCAGGCCCAGAGTTGAAGCCTACAATCGGAAAAAAAAAAATTTATTAGCCTATATTTATTTTACCAGGGAATTTCATTGTCATTTTTCAGTAATCGTAATCTTTTAATGAAGATCTGTTTTTAATCCTCTCTTCTCAAGTTTTGATATAACTGGTTGAGAGCGCTCTTGGAACCATTATTAAAAAAAAAATCTACCTTCACATGATTAGCATGATTATACTGAACAGCCAGAATGTATTGCAATTCATTAAAGGAAAGAAAAAGTAACTTAAAATATATTCTCAGAGATAACTGGGTAATACTTCTGTCTTACTTTGTTATGTTTAACATTTTACATTGACTATTCCTCCCTTTTATTACCTGTTGTCTGCTTGGTTCTGTGTTTAGGCTAGTGGAGGAGAGGGTGTGTGTGTGTGTGTGTGTGTGTGTGTGTGTGTGTG